ACCTGTGTTCTGTGCTTCAGTTGAGGTCAAAGGACTGACTCTGAATTAGCTACATTATCTACATAAGAGACATGCAATTTCCAATAGTAATAAATCAGAAAATATCAAATTATCTTAGTGTATAGGCAAAGTGTTCATATATGCATATATGTAACATGAGACTCAAATCACGCTCCCTCCAAGGAAGCAAGAGTGGAATGTTAATAAGGATTAGGTAGCAGCTCAAGTTGTATGAAATTACACTCTTCCATAGGAAGATAAAAGTAAGTGATCAAAAAAATCCCAACAGGTATCATGTACAACATGATTTGGGGCCACTGAAGTTCCTTTAAATTGACATTACTGCATTCTTAGAAAAGCCAACCGAGCGCGTTTGACTTAAATCATTTGACATCAATTGAAGAGATCAGAGTCCATCTTCCAGCAGACACACATTAGCTGACAGGCACTAAACCACAACCCTCTTACCATGAATTCTATCATTCATGACAGCCTCCGGGATGACTTATCACACTTCACAAGGAATTATAGTGGATAAAACATTTAAAGGATGCAGTCCCAGGCTGTTGCCATGAGCCTTCTCTCTGAGCAGCCAGTCTCTCATGGACAGGTAAGGTTTCTGACCGGTAGGTAGGGACTTTGGGGGCTCTGCTATTTATAAACACATCTGTATTTTTGGTGTGCAGATGTGTACCTTTGCATATTCCCTTGCTGAACTCCGTGCTACTGCAAAAATGTCTTTCATTTTGTAAAAACAAATCTAGTCTCTTCCCAGAAGCCTTTTGATATCTCAGGAACAAAACGTGAAGGACTGAACTTCAAATTTAGTGCTAAATTGAACAATCAAATCCTGTGAAAGCAGGTGTTGGTGCTACCACCACCAGATTGAGCGTGCCTGGAGAGTAAACTGCTGGTAGTTGATGCTGGTAACAAATGCCCAGTTGATACCTTCCCAACACATGGAAGGTCATTCCCTAACAGCCTTTTTGATTTAAGTAGTACAGCATGACCTTATTGTCTATGAACATGACATCTGAAGCACAAACACGGAGCTACAGCCCTATCAGGAGAAGATACTACAAAAAAAAAGGTTTTAATATTATTCTAATAATACTACATTTTCTGCTGATCCAGCCCAAACAAACACGGAGCTACAGCCCTATCAAGAGAAGATACTACAAAAAAAGGTTTTAATATTAGTCTAATAATACTACATTTTCTGCTGATCCAGCCCACCATGACAAAAATTCTGGACAGAGATGGGGAAGGTGAGGAAAAAGTTTTCCTCTTTCTTAAATATTACATGAAACAATTTCCAGATGCTTTTAAATCCGTGTTATGTGCAAGACTTCAGCTGTTTCAATGCCAAACCTCTCAATGGTAGTTTAATAACCAAGAAAAATTCCTATTCCATTTCTCTTAGTTTCACAGCCTCTTTTTTCTTGACAATTGCTGAATAATATTGATTTGTCCTAAAGCAGGATCTTTGGGTTCCCTTTTTAAAGGTCTGAATATATATTAATAGCTTATTATAAAAATTATGCTTCAAAATCTTCTTACTACATTCTCAAATTTTATTGGATATGATGAAAGAATGAACTAAAAGAGGTCTCGTTCCACTTCAAATGATAAGTAATTTAAAAACTTGTCCCCTTCTGATTAACATTTTTGTGGATTCCCTGTTGAACCTTTTTTGTAGGCACAATTTTTCTTCTAACAGACATCTAAAACTTATGTCTAACCATAAAGAACAGTATAGCCTTGGCTGGAACCTCTAGTCTTAGCACACATAAATAAATACAGTTTTAGGGGTAACATAAGGCATCTATAAATACATATAGAGCAGTTACTAAACAAACACCATCAGTGAATTTGATTAAAAATTAAAACTTGAATTCATTGTGCTCTTCAAATACATTATGCTTGAACAAAAAAAAGTACACAACTTTCTCATTCTAAGGTGGGGTTTTTGGGGTTTTACATTTCTTGATATGCAAATAAAAATATTTATTATAATTACCATATATATCAAAAAAATTCAAACTCATGCTTGCATTCTGACACAAATTGGATGGAATTTATCTCTCAACTTTCAGGTGCATCTCCTAGATATTCAAGCCCCAGCCAGCCAACAAAGGATCCCATTATTAGCCAGATGAGAAATAAATTCCTTGCGAGATTCACCTCCTTACTCGGAAACTATTTTTAGGATGATGTGCTAATCAGATGAGGAAATAAATTCATTGCGAGATTCACCTCACCTCTTACTCGGAAACTATTTTTAGGATGATGTGAATCATCCTCTGGAGATGCTCATTGACTTCTGCACTTTGGCAAATACTTTTAGCAGAATTTCACTTAATGTAAAGCAGTGTCCATGCTGTTTAAAACGCACAAAAAATCAAACATAAAATGTGATGCAGACTTAAAAAAGTCTGGTTTTCAAGAATTTGACTTATTAGTGCAATCATCTGCTGTAACAGCCGGACCACATGAAGTATATAGTGGTTTGAAACAGTGACCGTATAAATCTGTCCAAACCAACCCCTGATTTAATAGAGTTCAGATCAACTTTGAAAATAGGAAGCTGGAACTATAAACCTCCGAGATATCAAAAGTCAACCCATCAAAGGTAATCACACTGGCAACTTATGTTTTAATTCAGAAGTTCAAACCTGGACTTAATCAACAAGTATGAACTCTTCATTCAAATGTTTATTACGCAAAATGCCAGTTTTACTGCAGGCATAAAAGTAATTTCTACAGTTTGCCCTTATACATGTATTACGGATGGCAAAATGGACATGAATTTTGAGAAGAAATCATTAAATTACATAATGAGAACTGTGTAGTCCATTAACATGAGTAATATGACAACATCCAGGTAGTAAGCAATAAATTTACATCTGCAGTCGGCTTCAATTAGAAAAATAGCTTTTTTTCCTAGTATTGTATATATATCCACACCGAAGACCTACATCTGAAGTGAAAATTGAATATAACTACATAGTAGCAGCTCAGTAAGGATGTGTCGTTAAGGATGACAAATGTGCAAAAATCCCTATCAGAAGCCCCGGGGCATGTAAAAAGCTCCTGATTTAAGAGTTCCGGCATGTGAATGTCAGAGGTCAAAGCAATGAGCTATTCAAGATACTTTCACTTCCTCAGAAATAAAGTGCTGTCTTGGGCTGGGAGGGGAAAGGTTAGAAAAGCTGTTTATCTGCCGCTCCGTTCCCATTCTTCCTTCTGTCAGGAAATGGTACACGCTCCTACACCCCGTGCGGGGTTAACCCTGGGTCACGGTCATTCCCCCCAGTAAGTGCCCAGCTTTGATTTAAGCACACAGACCACATGGCTGCAGGTTGCATTTTCTCAAAAAAAAAAAAACAAAAAAACCGTGGGGTTTGATGTGAATCTCAGCTCAGCCTCAGTGGGACCTAAAAGCCCCGACTCTTCGCCACATTATTGCTATAGGAAGGGTGAAGCCGCCACCATCGGTTTGTATAAAATTAAGGGGGTCATTAACAAAAAGAAAATGTTATTTTGTAGTCGTTAGAGCTAGAGTAAGAATTACAAATACATGGAGCAGCATGTTTAACCAGAGGGAAACACATGGAGAGGGCAGAGAGGTTGTTCTCTCCCCGGGAGCCATGGGGATCAACGTTTGGGATCAACCAGGAGGAGCATAATTAGCAAAAAAGCCACAGTACAAAAGGTCCAGGAGATGGCAGAGACAGGGGTACACCACTGGGCTTCAGAGGGAGGAGCAGAAAGAAACTACCCAGAGCTGGAAGGGACCCCAAAGCACTCACTGCCATCCAGGGAGCCACCAAACAGCTGCTGGATTAAGGGGAAAGCTGAAGGAAAGCACCTGTCTGCAGGCAAACAGTGGGCAGGGGGAGGTTTATTTATGTTATATTTCTATTTTAAAATATTATATATGTAATATAAAAATATATATAAATATATATAAATATATATAAATATAAAAATATAAATATGTATTATATATACACACATGCACACTTACATATTTATGTTATGTGGTCTGCCCCATTCTGAGTTTTCCCAGTTTACAAAAGATTTTAATTCTAATTAACGTAGTAACAGAACTCAGCTTGAAACTTAAAACCCCTTGTGATTGCTGAAAGGGTTTGTTATAGAGAAAAGACCTAGGAACCCGCAGCTCAAAGCTCTAGATGATGCAGGGACCCATCATATGTAAATATTAGTTATAATATATATTAGTATTATTTATACTCATTAGTTCCACGTAACATCCATACCCATACATGCTGGTAATTTCATTTGAAGAATCACTATAAGAAAAAACATTTGCTATGCTTCCCCAGATACAGGTGACATATAAGAATATACCATTCTGTATAAAATGTCATATGGCAGATTCGTGCCATGGTGTAAAATACCGGCGTTGATTTCTTAAGAGGTGTTATTGAACTTTAATTAAAAACTATGGAGAGGTTCAAATTTAGAGCTGCTTCTGACAGAGGAGATTCAAAACAGCACCATTTATACAACACTTTCACTGCCTTTCAATAAGGAAAAATATTCAATATTTCTGCATTATTTTTGACAGAAATCAAGACATCAAATAGTAAAACTATCAGAGCATAAATATTAAGTAAGGCATTCACACAAATAATAGAACATAAAAAAATAGCAATGAAGTCCTCAGATGACTAGCCAGTTTTCCTTGAAGTTTTTAACACAAAATATATTCATCAGCTTTATTCCCAAGGTCAGGTGTGGTTGCAGATGTCACACAAATGCAGTATACAGCCACGAGCAAAGTGCCCACACTCCATCTGCAAACCCAACAGTCACTTCTAGAGATTACTGAGGACAGAACGTCACCCTCAATTTCTGTGTTTTATTTTTCTAAAACCAGAAAAATCTCCTATTGGTCATTTGAGCACAAAAATTTCATGCTGTTTCAAAGAGTTTTAGAGTGAAGACTATTTTATAAGCTATTTTCTTACCAAATTTATCAGCTGAGTGTGGACGATGTCTTCCACCAGCACTGCGGTTTCATGGAGTGGCCTGCGAGCATCTCCTAAGGAAAACCTGAAAGAAAGAAGTTTATACAAATGAGTTAAAAAGAAAAATGGTAGGTGGTCTCCAGAAAATTAAAAGAAAAAAAGTATGAATTGCAAGGTTATGAAAATGAGTTAAAAAAAAAAAAGAGTAGGTGGTGTCCAGAAAATTAAAAGAAAAAAAGTATGAATAATAACATCAAGCTTAATATACCTGTATGTACAGAAATAGCGCAAGGAATATAAACCAAATAATCTGATTAAAGGAACAAAAGAGCTGCAAGAATGTATAGTAAAGCACATAGTGAGAAAAAATTAAAGAATTTAGGAAAATCCAGTTTGTAGGAATTTTTGACAAAAGAGAAGGCAAAGCTCTATCATTTGTAGTACTAGGAGTAATTCTGAATTTGCAGCCCTCTGCTTACAAAATTACCAAATAACTACTTTAAAATGTAAAATGCTAACAGGTATATAATCTCAAATCTAAATGCTAAAATATGGAAGGAATTATTATGAATTAAAGGTAAAAATTTTTATACATAATTATATATGAGAGGCTCTTAAAGTCTGTGCTGCAAGATTAAATGACAAGAGATGATAGTGTTCATATAACATCACAAACAAAACGCAAAGCCACTCCAATAGGCATCATTAAATGAGAAATCATGACAATGGGCTTTTTGCAAGGTTTTATATTCTCTAAGAAATACCAATGGTTGCTCCATACCTGGAGGATAAGTCCTGCCTTATCTGCTAGGACTGCTCCTTTGATCTGGCACCAACCGTTTTATAATGTAAAATGCTAACAGGCATTTAATCTCAAATCTAAATGCTAAAATATGGAAGGAACTATTATGAATTAAAGGTAAAAAATTTTATACATCATTATATATGAGAGGCTTTTAAAGTCTGTGCTGCAAGATTAAATGACAAGAGATGATAGTGTTCATATAACATCACAAACAAAACGCAAAGCCACTCCAATAGGCATCATTAAATGAGAAATCATGACAATGGGCTTTTTGCAAGGTTTTATATTCTCTAAGAAATACCAATGGTTGCTCCATACCTGGAGGATAAGTCCTGCCTTATCTGCTAGGACTGCTCCTTTGATCTGGCACCAACCGTGGCCATCACCAGCCTTTGAAGAGACTGGAGGTGCTCCAGAAGGTCTGAATGCAGGCCCTTCAGTTTGTAGCCCCTCTGACCTAATGCAGAGCCTGAGCATTTCCCATACAATGCCCCAAAAGCCCCATGAAACTACTCAGCTGAAATTGGGATGGTGTTTTTTTAGCTCCAGACCCAGGCAGAGTACAGGGGCACCTAACCTGAAACATGTAAGAAAGTGGGGCTGACAGATTTGCTACTTGTTGGTAGCTCCACTCAGAGAGGCCACTGAAGACCCAATGAATCATAGAATGGTTTGGGTTGGAAGGAACTTTAAGATCATTAAGTTCCAAGCCCCCTGTCATGGGCAGGGACATCTCCCACTAGACCAGGGTCCTAGACCTGTAAAAGGCTTTTAGTGTCCAAAATGTCTGCAGGTCGCAACCAAACTCCATCCCTCATCAGTCCAGCTCAGTGAGTCTACAGCCCTCAAGCCCTTCCTAAGCCCTACTGTCATCTGAGTAGTTGAACCTCAGTCAAGAGAAAGGTAAAGTTCTCTTGCTCTATGTGGTTTCCCTTCCTCATATAAAGTGCAAAAAGCTGCTGTTTAATTTAGTTGACTCCTGTCTGTTCTGGAGAGCTATGGCCTACAGTTGCTCGGACACCTGCACTTCAAAGCTTTCATGAAATTTCAGTCTCTCAATCAGATCAATCTATCTCAAATCTAGTATCTGCTATTTGCACCCCAGAATCCTTAAAAAAACATATTTTTAAAATTAAATTATCCATCAGTGGAAGTCTCATGAAATATAAGTCCTTAACCATTCTAAAGGTTTACTGGTTGCTCTACTTTCAGTCCCTCTATATCCGACTTTTGGCTAATTTTTTTTTAAAACTTAGAGCTGTTAATTCCAAAATGGTCTCAATGGATCCCAATGTTCGCTCACTGAAAATATCTCACCATGACATGCATATCAACATTTAAAAAAAAAAAGCTATTCCAGTCTTACATCATTACAGTGAAAGACAGCTCGCTATGCTTTCAAATATTTCCTCAGGGCATTTCCAAAAGAATGTCCTCTCTTCTCCTAAACCTGAGCTTTTAAAGTAAGAAAACTTGCACAGTAAAATATATTAATTGTAAATTAAATACCACAGGCCAAAAATAACACTACAGTTTCTTATTAAAATAGTGAAATTTTATTTATAAGCAATATTCAAATCTTCATAGATGACTGAATATATCAATTATTTCCTTACAAAAGCATTCTTCTGCCCTGCAATAAAATAAAACAATATTTTATTTATAAAGAACTAAAGAGTTATATAGTAGGGGCTTTTTTCCTTTATCTAATTATGAAATTATATCCGGTGTTCTTCACACAGCATTTGAAATTCTAATGGGATTAAATTTCAGCTTGATACATGTAAGAGCACAACAAGAACTACTCAGGCAACATCCGAGCATAACCCACCGCACAGTACTAGTCACAGCACAAGGAATTCACACTCTATATTTGTTCCCTATCATTTGTCTCTCTTGTTGAACCTATCAGTGTATTAAAGAGATGGTCATGGTTTATTATGTGTTGCACAACATCTCTACAATGAGGACAACTCCAATAACTTTTTCTCTGTTGTGCACGTCCGTGTCAGATCCTTCCTAGAACTATAAGCACAGCACAGAAAACATAAATCAACAAGCCAGATCCTATTAAATATTTTATAAACTGCAAATACCTGGATATTATAAAGGAAATACATATAAAAAATAGAAATATTTACTACCATATTACACTGGAATGTAAAATAATATTAAAACCATCACAAATTCAAAACACTTGCTTATATAGGATAAACTTAAGTATTTCTTTTTTTTTAAAGTAAGGTGCACAAGTAAATTAACAGGAAAATTTATATTTGTTTTTTTTCTAATGACACAAGATATATAAAACCAAACAGAACTCAGTTATCATGACCACAGTATGTTGTTCATTCTTACTGGCCATTTAGTATTCAAAAGTAATTTTTCTTTCTTTCCAAGACTTGAAATGCAAAGTAAAACAAATATGCAAGAGTGTAATAAATGCCTGGTTACCAATACTACCATCTTAAATATAAATTTATTTTGTTCACGGTTTTATCGCCAAGCATTCCACATATACAAATGAAAGTTTACTGGTTTTATTTTTCTGAGGACAACAAAGTGCAGGAGGATGCTGCCTCCATGTTGAGATATCCTCCCTATCTATGTCTAAAAGATCTCGTTCACCCGTAACTATCAGCTCCCTAAATGGCACGAGAAGTAACAGTGATGCAACCAAGATGCAGCACGTGGGTTGGAGAATAGACAGATACCAAATTTTTTTTCTCCATTCTGATGCAAAAGGATAAGTCAGAGTTGATGCTGAACCGTGAAGGTGACAAATCAAACCCAACTGCACTAACAATTACATAGAAAATAAAGCTCCAGCTGCACCTACTTTCTTCCTCCCTCCCTCACACTCTTTCTACCTTCAACAGCTATTTCTATCTCAGTTTGCCTTCACTGGTTTCCCACGTAACTCCTGCCAACTTGTTTCCCACACACAGAAAACTAGACACTGGCACAGTGGTTTCAGCAAAAAATAACCCCCCCAACACCTACCCACAGCCGCTTCCTTTTCCTTTGCAAGGATCTTTTAGACACTAAAAAAAAATGTAAAGCTTCAATACTTGTTAATTGCAGTTGTACAGCATTTGATATGCTCCTTGATTCTAACATCCTTAAAGGATAATATTCTTTAATATACCAAACACAACATTTTTTTACCCCATTCTGCTACCAGAGGTAATAACTACACAAGCAGTTAAAGTAATAAACTCTTCCATTTTTTAGTTCACTTTTGCCATTGTACTTCTCCATAAACACTAAACTAAGAGTCAGAGGGCTCAGATTTTTGCCAAGTTGCAGAATACGAGGTAGGTTAAGAACCAAAAGAAAACTCTAACAAAAAAAAAAAAGGAACCCAAAATTTGGTGCCCTTGTTTCTGGGAACTGAAACTGAACTTGACGTTTTAATATAACTTACGAATTTTATTTCACATGTGCTTTGCTTTTAACGGTTCATTAGAGAGTCTTTTAAAGAACCTTCCATTCCCTAGAAGTATAAATAAGTCTTCCTATGAAACACATAAAAATTCTGTTGAAAACAGAAAAGAGCTGTTTCCCCACAGGTAAATACTGAAGAGGAAATATATCAAAATGTAACACTAGAAGTGCATCAAAACAGTGAAACGATATGGAAGACTGTCCTGACAATAAAAGCATCTACCCAGTAGACGTGTCTTACAATAACAAAGCCTTCTTAGAAGATCCAGTTTCAAAGGTTTGTCTATTTTATGGAAACATTTTTACAAGGGGGTGATCAACTTACCCGGACTTTCACAGGAGGATTAAAATAGTAGCGTGGAGAAAGAAAAGACTGCTGCAGCTCTTTTATTGTTTACTTTTAGCTTCTATTTCTCATTTATTTAAGTTCCTGCAATGATGTTTTCAGACTCATCGAATGGGGTAAACGTCCAAGCCACTAGATGCCTCCATGAAGTCTCATGGCACACTACGTGTAAACACACACGCACACGCTTGGCACACGCTAAGGTACGACAGCTATTCATGGTGCAAGGACCTACACTTGTAAGAACCTCAAAATCTCAGGGCAGCTACAGAAATAGATAAAGCCCTTTCTTTGCTACATTTCTTTGGGTTTTAAACGCCTGCAAAAAGGTATTGGGGCCAGGCTTGCTTCAAAAACCCTGATGCAGAGCTCTCCAGGTGGCCAGACCACCAGGAGAGTAGACTGTGGAGACAGAAAGCTGCTGCGATCTCCCATCCTCCACAGCCTTGGAATAGCTGTCCTGGCCAGAAAGGAAGTATAACCAGGG